GACGCGCTTTTCGTTACGTTGTGTTACGGGTGAGTTTCTCCCATGATCGTCGACCTTTGATGTTGCTAGTGCACGGTATGTAAGTTTCATGACCCTGAGTAAATCCGAGCACATTTTCGCCTGCCGTGTTCTCCTGCTAGCTGAAATCTTAGCTCGCACGGGACACGTCAACGTTACTTTAGCAATGGATGCCTTCGAGAGCAGCATACCTTTCAGAAACGCGTTGCGAGAGGAACGTTGCCAGCACGTGGCCCGAACGGCAAAGTCTAAAATTGTAGGTGTTTGGTGTGTTCAACCACCTGAAGTGCTTTGACCGCCGCGACAGGTGCTGGAGGTGCGGAAAATGAAGTGCTCCTACTTCAAGTCCGTCTGGAACATCCTCGACATCCTGGTGATAGGGATAGCGACGCTCTGCATCGCGTTCTCCGTCTACCGCACCAACTCTGTCGACGACAAGATCGAGTCGCTGCTCAAAGGTGAGCAGAGATATGACCTCCGACTCGAGTGGTGCTGACCTGACCTCCGACCCGGCACCGATGGGTGCAATGCTGGCTTGTCCGTCAGACGTCAAAGTCAAGCATGCGCCGACGATCGCATCATCCCGGTGCCTCCGTCTTGGTGACACTTTGACCTCTCGGTAATTCCGTGACCTCCGTTTGATCTCGTGACCTTTGGCTGACCCGATGACCCCCGCACCGCCGCAGACGATATCCAGTACGCCAATTTCGAGCTGCTCGGCTTCTACCAGACCCAGTTCAACGCGGCAGTAGCCATGTGTGTGTTTTTCGCCTGGATCAAGCTCTTCAAGTACATCAGCTTCAACAAGACCATGACACAGCTCAGCAGCACCCTCTCCCGCGTGAGTGTTGGTGGGATGCGGGGAGGGGTGCCAACGCGGTGCAATAGGCGCACAGGTGATGGTGCTGGCTTACAGGTGCTTCAGCTTTAGAAGTCATGTCGTGGGTACAGCTGCGGAGTTTCGCTAGGATGAAGTGCGCTAAAGGAAACGGACACTGGCTCAGTGCAGCAGTGAGGAATCAGGAAGGGGTGCTGGATGCTGGATCCACGCGGTGGCCACAGGGGCTTGGGTCTGGGGAAGTAGGTGAAGCCAGAGCCCGGATGGCAGCTGGACGGAGGATGGGTAGCGGTGCTTCGAGAGAACCGGTGCAAAGTCAAACTTAAAGCACGGGAAACCGAGAGCTGCGGCGAATGCGGCGCGGTGGGATGCTCAGGGTGATCGGTCCAGCTCCCACAGACCGTGGGATGGTCAGAGCGATCGGTCCAGCTCCCACAGACCCTGGGATGGTCAGGGTGATCGGTCCAGCTCCCACAGACCGTGGGATGGTCAGGGCGATCGGTCCAGCTCCCACCGACCGTGGGGTGGTCAGGGTGATCGGTCCAGCTCCCACAGACCGTGGGATGGTCAGGGCGATCGGTCCAGCTCCCACAGACCGTGGGATGGTCAGGGTGATCGGTCCAGCTCCCACAGACCGTGGGATGGTCAGGGCGATCGGTCCAGCTCCCACAGACCGTGGGATGGTCAGGGCGATCGGTCCAGCTCCCACAGACCGTGGGGTGGTCAGGGTGATCGGTCCAGCTCCCACAGACCGTGGGATGGTCAGGGTGATCGGTCCAGCTCCCACAGACCGTGGGGTGGTCAGGGTGATCGGTCCAGCTCCCACAGACCGTGGGGAGGTCAGGGTGATCGGTTCGGCTACCGCAGGCGGGAGACGTCGGCTGTTATCGACTGCGCGGCGTGCGGTGTTCGTGTCCAGTTAAGCTTTTGCGTGTGCAGGGTAACGATATTTCAGTGCAGTGCAGATTGTGTTTAAATGCGCGTAGTACGCTGGCGTGTGCGCTACATGGCGACAATGGTAATCTGATAATGTCTTCCGTCGCCAAACCTGGATTGGCAGAAAATACAGTGATCATCACACGCACCTCTCCGTTCTGTTTTCAGTGTGCAAAGGACGTCATGGGCTTCGCCATCATGTTCTTCATCGTCTTCTTCGCCTTTGCTCAGCTCGGCTACCTCCTCTTCGGCACCCAGGTCAGCAAGATCACTCGGGATCATCTGGAAGTTTACTGATGCTTTCGTTGTTAAGTGCTGGTATCTAATCATTGTAAGCACAAGTTGATATATCCCTGTGTACATGCACTGCATGCTTTCCTCCCCCCTCCACCAGTTTTCTTCGCCCTATCATCTTTCAAGGTTTTTCATATTTCTTCGACCGGCTGATATTTTTACTGTTCACAAAAAACAGTTATAGCTCTTGTCCACCACGCTATCTTCGAGCAGCTCTAGAGCCGCGGTAATGCCCGGTCGTCGCTCGCGTCCAGGCCCGCCCCGCCAGTGCCTCTCGACTGCTCGAGCCGCCACCTGCGCCTCTGTCCGGCAGGTTCGCGACTTCAGCAGCTTCGGCAACGCCACCTTCACCCTGCTGCGGACCATCCTCGGCGACTTCAACTTCCACGAGATCGAGGCCGCCAACCGAGTGCTCGGTCCCATCTTCTTCCTCGCCTACGTGTTCTTCGTCTTCTTCGTGCTGATGGTGCGTGCGTCAGCCCGTCCCGCGGTGGCGGGTCTGATGGTCTGATGACGGGCCTGACGTATCTGGTGGTCTGATAACGAGTCTGATAGGTCTGATAATCTTATGACGGATCTGACGGGGTCTGGTGGTCCGACGACGGGTCTGATAGATCTGATGGTCTCATGAGTCTGGTGGTCTGATGACGGGTCTGACAAGTCTGATGGTCTCATGGGTCTGGTGGTCTGATAACGGGTCTGATAGGTCTGATAATCTTATGACGGATCTGACGTGGTCTGGTGGTCTGGCGACGGGTCTGACAAGTCTGATGGTCTCATGGGTCTGGTGGTCTGATGACGGGTCTTATAGGTCTGATAATCTTATGACGGATCTGACGGGGTCTGGTGGTCTGACAACGGGTCTGACATGTTTGATAGTCTCATGGGTCTGGTAGTCTGATGACGGGTCTGACAGAACTGATGGTCTCATGGGTCTGGTGGTCTGATGACGGGTCTGACGGGTCTGATGGCGACAAGTGTTGGGGTGGCGGAGACGGGAGAGACGGGAGACCGACAGCTGGAACTGTTGGCCGAGCTGGTAAAGACGGGAGAACGACAACATGCGCACAGAGCCGGCGGCTGCCCGCCGACGGGAAGATGGAGATCACTGGACCCATTGGCGAGGGGGGCCCACTCGACAGAGAGGGCCTGGTCAAACCAGGCCCATATGTTTGAAGACCGTCTGACTGATAGCTGTGCGATCTCGCTTCGGACCGATGCTGAAGATGTTTCTCACCCCCCCCCCCCCCCCCCTAGTGAACTGAACGCGGCACGCTTCCTCACCTTTACTGTTGTGATCACAGAAATCACCACACACAGCTCAGATACGGACACAGTTGAGGCATATTACAGACGGACAGGGCGCCAGTGCGGAAGTGGCCACCAGTGTTGACTTGCGCTCCCCCAATGTTGATTTGAGCCCAAAATTATTGCTGATAGGTGGCAAAAATCGGAGAAGCAGTTAATTATTACACCAAGATTATGTTATCATTCGAAGGCCATCACCACTTTGCTGCTAAAGAAATCACAACTCGAAAAATAACACTAAAGTTTGAAAAAGAAAACTAATACTTAACAACACAAAGTGGGCGCAAAGTCCGTTGGAAAACTGTCCCCCTCCCCCTAATAGTTTACTGAACGTGATGTCCCTCTGGCCCACAGAACATGTTCCTGGCCATCATCAACGACACGTACAGCGAGGTCAAGAACGAGATTTCGGCCCAGAAGAACGAGTTTGAGATCGCTGACTACTTCAAGCGCGGCTACAACAACATGATGGGTGAGGCGGGACGGACTGAAATAGTCCCTATAGTAGTCCCTATAAATAGTCCCTAAATAGTCCCTATAGTCCCTACATAGTCCCACCACTACCGTGGTGGTAGTGGCCACGGCCACGGCCACGGCCACGGACTGGCCTCGGTGGTAGTTATCTGAGAACGGCCGAGAACGCGCTGTGGCGCTGCAGAGGCGCGATGCTCACTGTTCACGGCTGCGCGAAACTGTCTGAGCTATGGCTGTCGGCTGCGCGAGGGTGTCCGAGCTATGGCTGTCGGCTGCGCGAGGGTGTCCGAGCTATGGCCGTCGGCTACGCGAGGTTGTCAGAACTATGGCTGTTGGCTACGCGGGGGTGTCCGAGCTATGGCTGTCGGCTGCGCGAGTGTGTCCGAGGTATGTATGTCGGCTGCGCGAGGGTGTCCGAGCTATGGCCGTCCGCTGCGCGAGGGTGTCCGAGCTGTGGCTGTTGGCTGAGTTTCTGGGTGTAAAAAGTGACGCCTGCTTCATGCCAAAGCATCCATTCAGCGGGCAGGTGTGCGTATGTCGAGAGCTGAAGTGCGTCCCACTTCTTTTAGGGAGGCTTAGATGACAAATAGAGTCGAAGTTTTGCCAGCAGCGCATTTGATTGCGTATTTTTGGTATGATTATGCGCATCCCTGTTGTCGCTCTAGGTTGTTGTCGTAGAGGCTGTCGATTATGTGCATTATTGCAGTGGTGTGTGTCTACCTGTTGGGTTCCAGCTTTATGGTAAGCAAACATTAAAACGACGCCAATTTTCTGCCTAACGTGCGAATAGTGAGTGATAACGGCATGGAGATAACAGCAATTAACCAAACCTCTACCGGGCATTTGACAATCCACCGTGGGTGCGCCCTATGGTGGCGTCTGACCTCCGGTGGCGCCTGATTTCTCACTTCCTCTGACTTTTCCTTACCTCCGATGGCCCCTGACGACGTTTCCAGGCAAGCTGGGCAAGCGTGACAAGCTGATTGACATCCAGAACGCGCTGAAACTGGCTGACACGAACAGCGACGGCATCTACTCCTTCGACGAGATCCGCAAGAACCTCAAGAAGTGAGTGGGGACCTGTCAAGGCCTCCCTGGCGCGCGCGCACATGGTCTCGTTCATTTCGCGATCGTCGCACCCGCGAAACCGCTGCGACATGACTGTCAAGTCATGACGCACTGTCTGACATGCGTCCGCCACACACCTACTCCGCGTCCGCAGTGTGCTGTGTGTCTGACCCGCACCTGTCACATCTGTTACGTGCCTGTCAAACACTAACACACACGCACACACACACACACACACACACACACGCATACACACACACACACACACATGCACACACACGCACACACACGCACACACGCACTCACACACACACACACACACACACACACACACACACACACACACACACACACACACACACACACACACACACACACACACCACACACACACACACACACACACACACACACACACACACCCATGCACATACACGCACACACACGCACACACGCACTCACACACACACACACACACACACACACACACACACACACACACACACACACACACACACACACACACACACACACACACACACACACACACACACATACGCGCGCGCGCGCCTACGCGCATGCCTGTCACGTGTCTGTTACACGCCGGCCTCTTATCTGTCACGCACTTTCGACCGCAGGTGCAACTTCTCTGACCTGGAGATCGAGATGTTCTTCGCGCGATACGACCTGAACGGCGACCGGACCCTGGGGGATGACGAGGCGCGTCTCATGATGGCTGACCTGGAGGACCAGAAGCTCGAGCTCGACCGTGAGTAACCGCTGCGAGGCTCCGACGCTGACTGACGACCTGACCCTCGCCCGACTCGCAGCCTGACTCTGACTCTGACCCATGCGTGACTCTGACTCGGAGCCACTATCTGATTACATCTCTGACGGTATGATTCTACCGCCTTACGTCCTAGCGTGGTGTGTTGTTTCCTTCTCTTCAATGGGCGCCGTGGCGCCCCCAAAGCTGGAGCGGACGCTGACAGTGGACTCTTGATCACCCACGATCTATGATGCGCCCAGACATGTTAGTTTTCACTTGAATATTACGTTTCGTGTTGTACGATATACTTTGTGCACGATTGGTGCCCACCATGCAACAAGGTTATTCACCGTGCATAAAAAAGTTGAAAATGGAAATTTTCACATTTTTATGTATATCAATTCTCCCGCACAGTCGTTTAAGCAAAACACTCCGCAAGTTAAAATCCGTTTGGGCCAAACACTGCCTGATAAGACTTGCGTCTTGCACGCTTGCGTCGTCTTACGGAGTTGATTTCAATGCCACGATAACACAGAACTTTTCATAGATTGCTCATCGCTTCAACTGGATAGCAGCGTGATGACCACGATGACCTTGACCTTAACGGGCGAGACGAAAACCTGCACCCTTCATCGGCCTTCCGGGCCAAACGTGATGTTCAATGTGTATTGCGGGCTGATCCGAAACGGCGCGCCGGGCTCGACGACAGACCTCGCTCGTCATGGTGGCCTTGACCTCGAAGGCGGGATCTTGACCTTGACCTTGACCGGCAGGTGAGATCGGGAGGCCGACGTCCGGCCGTCGCTCCCGGCCCGGCTCCGCGTACGGAGGGGGAGGCGGCGTCAACCCCGAGGAGTTCAACTCGTGAGTCGCGTGCACCCCCGCCGCTGATGCCGCGTTCGGTCACGGGCCTCGCGCCGGCGGCGAGCGTCGCTGCCAGGAACGGGGGTCAGCCGGAGAGACCGCGGTCCGGGCGGGCGGTCTCGCAAACGAATCTGTCACAAACGTGTGGTTCTGAGTGGCACGGCGAGGCCGCACTGCCGGGCCGTGGCAGCTGGAAGAACTTGGCCTCCGGGCAAGTCCATCGTTCAACACTGGGGTTAGTTAAATGCTGTGTACATTTCAGCCCTTTCAATGGCTATCTATTACTTAGCCGTAACCACAAATGCAGATACTGGATCGTGCTTCACCATGGGCACACCTCCATACGATGCGACCCTGACTTGGACATGACCTCGGCCGTAGGCTGACCCGCCGCGTGGACCGCATGGAGCACAGCATCGGCTCCATCGTCTCCAAAATCGACGCCGTGCTCATCAAGCTGGAGGGCATGGAGAAGTCGAAGCAGAAGAAGAAGGAGACGATGGGCAAGATGCTGGACCAGATCTCGGACGACCCAAGCGGTATGTTGGTCAGAACTGTCGAGAACGGGCACGGCTGTGAGGCTTTCGATGGTTTTCCTCATCCTGGCGCAACGCACCGAGATTCCAAAATCGTCGGCGGGAACGCTTTCGAAGAGGAAGCGCCTCTCACTCCAGTTAGAGGCTCTGGAGCGTGCAGAGAGATTTATTTTGGAACTGAAAGTGCCAAGTTGTAGGTAGTTATAGGTTTCGACAGACATGAATGACCAATTGACGACCAATGGCTCGTGTTTCACGTCTCATCGCTGAAAAGACTGTGATAATCGCTCTGTACACCTTATTTGGCGCTGCTATATCGCTGCGAATAAGCTACCGTTTGCGGGCAGTAAATCCTATGCAAGGCTTGATTTGCATACGGCTCGAAGTCGATGGCTTCACGCATTGCCACCAGCGACTACTGCAGGAACCGAGTCGCCAGCACGCGCCTTGACTTCCGGGCCGCATGTTTAACATGATTCACAAGCCATCCTCGCCCTTGGTTCATCAGAAGGCTAGAGTAATAGTTTACGCTTAGAGATACCTCGCTCGATCTACCCCGACAGCTTGCCAGCCTGCTGCATACCAAGATGAATGGCGTTGCTGAGGTCATGTCCGTTGCCATCGCTTTGGATATTGCTGAGGCGGCAAACAACACTACGGAGGCGCTTAGATAGTTCAAGTCTTCATCATTTAATTTGTGACTGCTGACCGGGCCTTCCCAATCTCATGACAATAGCACGGCTTCACCCGCTGTCACGCGGCCGCACCGCCCATCCGACCGCCCGCCGCACCACTGCCAGCATGTGCAGAAGCATCACCAACCACCACTTCTGAACGTCCACCAGGCACTTCAGCACATTCGTCAGTCACCTCAGCGCGGCCACTCACATCTTCAGCATGAAAACCCACCCACAGCATGTCCACCGACTGCTTCAGCATGGCCACTAGCATCTTCCGCACGGCTACGGGCTTGTTCGGCGTCCTGCCGTCGCTCGTGCACCCCCGGCGGCCGCCTCACCGCCGCTTCTCCCCGCAGCGGACGACAAGTCCAAGCGGCACCAGATGGAAAAGCTGGTGCGGGAGGAACTGGATCGCTGGGACTCTGATCCCAACATGAAGGTCAGCTGATCGGCAGCGGGTGGTCAGGGTGGCTTCAGCAGGGGAGCGCGCGCCTGCTGAGGTCGTGGCGGGCCATACACTCGCTACATAAAGTTTGTCCACTGGGTCAGCAGATTGTTTAGATTTTTGGGTCAGCTACGTCGACCAGATGAACTTTTCACTTAGGTCGATTAGATCAGCTATCTGTGCTATTTCAAGTGTGTCTGCTGCCAGTCAGGACCGCTAGGTCAACTGGCGCCAATATACCAATGCAATTTCTGGGTAAACCAGATCGTCGATCAGGCCGGATCGCACGGCTGATCGGTCCGTCGGGTCCACAGTCCTCCAGGGTCACCTGCTTTGTGGACGCCAAGACCAATAGGTTTGGCGGTGATAGGTCATCTGGTGGCACTCTCGGCACAGGGCTCCTGCACCCAAGCTTTGGGGTCCGGGCAAGTGTAACCCGACACTAAATCTGTTCCTGGTGTGCATCCTGGTGCTGCCCCTGGTGCGCGTCCTAATTTAGACGTAGCCCCCCCCCCCCAGGACTATCCCCTGACTTGTCCTGAAATTGACGCTGACTGTCCAGCACTGGCTCTTCCAACACTTTTTCTCATTCCGGCCAGACTTAACACGCGCCTCCCTCAGGCAACTGTCCGTTTTGCGGAGAACAAAACTGCTGCACGAAAGTAGCATGATCCTGCGCCTAGCTGTATCTAACGGCATATATCATCACATCGCTCGAAGGACCCGTGAACATCTAGCCTCGCTGTTGTCAAAACCTACTTGATTCGTCTCATGTCGCGCGCTGATGCCCGTTGCCGCACCACTTACGATTGCGCCGCGTCAGTGACGTCATTCCGTCTGTCAGTTGACCGTGTCACTTGAGACAGGGGTGGTGGTGCTGTGTACTCAGATCCACCCAACTGAACTTGACGCCACCAGCTAGGAAATCGAGCGTCGTTTTCCGTCTCAAGCCTCACGCCACCGACCACTTGGTTCCTGTGACACCCCGACACGTGCCGATTTCTCCACAGGGCAGTAAGTAGAGAGGCCGGGTGGTGAGCTCGCTCGCCGGGTCGCGCTAGAGGGAGAGAGGACGTCCCCGCAGGCGCCGACCGGCGCAGCGTCCCGCCGCGAGGCGGCGCCAGCATCGCCCGACCCCGCCGCCGGTCCGACCGGCCCCGGCAGACGCGACCCACGCCCTCCACAGCAACCCAGTCAAGTGCAGCGTGTCTGTCGGGCCGGCGCCGTCTGCCTCGGCGGCTCAGAGATCAGCAGATGGCTGTTGCTCGCCGCCGAGCCGGCCGCACCGCGGCGGCGGCGGCCACGCGCATGCGCGCCGCCTCCCGGCAAGATATGACGACCCGCGCGTGACCCGCGGCAACCCCGCGGCGGCCGCGGCGACCTGGCGCTGCGCCAGCCGCGCCCTCGGGGCAGGCGTTGTGACCTCGCCGCGCGGGACAGTGCCTGAGGCGGCGGACGCGCCAGATTTGCTCACCGGCGCATCTAAGGGAGAGGTGCTACCAGAAGAGTGGCACGCGCCGGACTTTGTGGTTTTGTTCTGCGCACTGTCTGTTGAGGCCAACGCAGGCGTCGGCCACACTGTCGTGTTTGGTACGATATGTGTACGGTTGACCTAAGTTCATTTCGGTCTCGCCGCCGGTGGTCGGTTTCGGCTGGCGGCGTCCCGGCCTTTGCCGACCCCGCCTGACCTTTGGCATACTTCTGGCGTACCGCCCGAACGCTTTGTGTTTCCGCTCTTCTGTTGTCTTGGGGGCTCAATTATGTCTACGGTGTGTGTCGAAAATGGTAACCCGGTGCCGTGGACGTAGTTGCAATCCCCAGGCTCCTTGCCCATCATGTTGCAATACAGTCTGCACTCTACCACCGGGTTTTTTACATGTGCGTTATTCATGCCAGACCGGTGCTTCACGCTTGGCGGAACCGTTATCCATCGCGAGTCCAACCGAAAGATAAGCCGTGAATGAAGGCGAAGTAGGTAAACGACTTAACAGTACTAAATCCTGAGACAGAATCAACGCAAGCACTTTGGACGTAAAGGAGTGGATTCTGAGAGGTCATGAGACTTCGGTATTAGGACTTACGTCGCAAAGCTGTCTGTTCAACAGCTTGCAAATGTTTGGCGAAACGTGACAACCAGACTTGTGCCTGGCTGCCAAGATTTCTTCCCGGGAACCGGTTCCTGGTTCCTGGTTCCGGAACCAGGAAGAAGACAGGAACCAGTCTGGCAATAAGTCGAAAGATCCAGCAAGAACCAGGATCCAGCTTGACAATATGTCGAAAGATCCAGCTTGACAATAAGCCAAAAAAATCCAACAAGAACCAAGATCCAGCTTGACATGAAGACGAAAGATCCAGCAAGAACCATGATCCAGCTTGGATTGGACATAGGGACCCAACGAGAACCAAGATCCAGCCTGGAATTATGTTGATGGATCCAGCAAGAACCAAGACCCAGCCTGGAACATGCGAAGTGATCCAGCAAGAACCAAGATCCAGCTCAGGCTTAAGATGGAGATTAATTTCAGCAAGAACCAAGATCCATTCTAAAATTATGCTCAGGAGCCAGCAAGAAACAAAATCTTACCAGGATTTCTTCAGAGCAGTTGCTGCTTACACTCCCCACTTTTCAGGTCCAGCAATTAATACTGTTCTTAATGTAAATTAATAAAATTGGGTCTAGGAACATAGCTGGTTATCTGCTCAGGCTGTTCCTCATACCCATAAAAGAAATTTGCTGTTCTTCAATGTTAATAACACTACAAATTCAGAAGAACAACATCAATAACTTGTCAAGACACAGGGATGATGCAGACCTGCTAAGTCTGCAACTGGACTGTTAGCTGCCTAATGTTATCCCGAAAGGAAAGGTCCGCTATTCCGTGCGGATCTCTCGGAAATAATGAATTATATATATATATATATATATATATATATATATATATACATAGTATAAGTTTACACCAGAATAGCACAAAATGATTTCCAATGAAATCACGCAGCAACCATAAATAACACCTCTTACTGCATCTCGCACACTAATGTGGCGTCCCCGCGCGTCGCTCATCAAGGCCGCAGATAGGGAAGCTAGTTGGTATGTTTAGTTAATCTAAAACCCAAAGGGAATATGACGTCAAGGAACTAAGGCTGCTGGTGGTAAGGTTACTCCGTGTGGGAATGCGGAACAACGGTGCTACCTTACTGACTCCTTATTACTCACACCAAAAAACACACCATCTAACGTGTCATAATCAATTTAAATCATCCACAACAATGCCAGACACAAGCAGGGTGTGTATGTGTTGAAATGCAGCTTCTGATGATAAAAATGTGAAAAAATCAGTGAGAACCAGGATCCAGCACCTTGTATTGTCGAAAGAGCCAGTGGGAACCAGGAACCAATATTAGGAACCAGGCACATGTCTGGTGACAAAACGTGCACGCGATAGAAAGGGAGGACAAGTCCCGCAGTCATATGGCGCAGTTGAGTTGTGATTAAAGCCGTCGCTACAGGATTAGGTTGTACTGGACTCCACGCCCAGGATCGGGTAATATCTTGCTCGGAGTCAGTCAGACTCGACTCCAAGCTGCCCGCCGCTGATCGGAGGAACGACCGCGTCGAGGCAGAGTCTAGCACACAGCACAGGCCAGCACGAGGCGGCCCAGTCGTTTCTGCCACCAGGCACACAAAACGTACCCGTCTTGGCCAAGATGGCGTTCATGGCAAGCTTATGCATGGTTTGGAATGTCGCGTGCTGGAGAGACGACGAGGAAGGAGAAACTTCAAACTGCTGGCTGTTTGTTAGTACGGTTTCCAGCAACAGACAAACGTTGGCAAGCAGCCACTGCCTGTGGATGTCACGCGTCTGGCAGAATGATTTGCGGACTGGAGCTCTGCTGATCCTAACATCACGCTTTTGGCTTGGTCTGGGTTGGTTCGGATTTGATTGGACTCTTCGGTCAGCAATAACCGCTTCAGGGCTTTGGGAACTCGGAGAGAGATGAGTAAAGGGGCAAGACTGCGGTCACCGTGGAAGGCCCGTCAACAAGCCTTACGCAGCAAAGGTCCAATCGCATAAACCATACAAATGTTGGCGGCAATAACGGCACATAGCTGGTGACCGCGGCGTCCTCCGTCACGCCGGACATTGCATACAATAGCCCGATGGACAATGGACATTGCGAGGATTGAGGACAGGCGAGGAATGAGAAAAGGCAGGGAATAAGACAAACCGGGGAGCGTCACTGAACTTTTGCAAACACGATCACATTTCGCAAATGTATTGTTTCAATGTTGCATCTTAGTCCAAGAAGCAGAATGGCGCGAGTTCCATGTGGATCAATGGAGGTCTTTAAGACTAAACTAATCCAACACACTTGTTTTTGTGCTTCGTTTTCTTACTGTTGCCACCTGTCGGTGGAGAGGCCAGGCTCTGCTTCGCACGACGACCGCCAGAGTCATCTTCGACTTCAACCATTTCATACCTGCCGAATAGTAAATTCATCACGCGATGTAGAAACGGGACGCCATCAAAACTTGCTGGTGGATCGTGTCGTTTCGAGACGGCACTCATAACGTCCACTGTTATGTCAAGTTCACATGCACAGCACGCAAGGAATAATGGATTCAACAACTATCAAAAATGTTGTCATTGAACTACGACGACCCCCAACGTTGACCCACGACGATCAAATGACTATTTCACATTCGTACGGGGTTTTGAACTGCAATTGCAATGTTCATGGCCATTCCCTGCGTGTCACACCCGCGCACGTTTTAAGACTTGAAATTATCCCGTTTCTTAGAGCTTGATACACGCGAGTTTGAGCAGCTTGTGACACGCCGCCTATGAGATAACCACCCATACATATACGACGTCCCAAAAACATCATGCGAGCACCATGCCTAATTGGCCGTGCTGTGCTCATGGGTATTTAAAATGTGGCCACATGCATTCGTATTTGAAGTTATCCGGCACGAAGTGCCCCATCGATAGAAGGCAATTCATTGGCCTATAATCGGATTTCGCTATCGATCGCACGTTTCGATCACGTTTCGCGTTTCGCCAGCAGTGACACCGACATTTGGGCAACTACTAGATATGACGGACATGGAGCTAATATTTAAACCCCTTTAAGAATAGCACCGCAACCGAAAGTGTAAACCCAAGCAAGGAAGGTGCCGTCACGGAAAATATATAAGAAAACCGTATGGAAGGGCCAAACACCACGCACATAAGCTCATGCGTTGAGTCACTAAATAAATCAACACTGTAACATTGCAGCACCTAGGAATACTGCAAATCAGTTGAGTTATGCTGCCCGCTATGGCGGCAACTCAATGCTGCAACTCTAGCAGCAGTTCAGATGTCACAAAAACGTGCCATGACGTCCCCAAAGGATTACGTAATGGGGACCACATTCAGTGATTCGTGAAGCTTCATTATTTAACGCAGCCTTCGCACTTAAGAGCATACCAAATGTTACTCCGGCTAGTCAGCCGGTTGTCTGGGCGCCTGTGGCGTCCCTGTCATGCTCTTCCGGCCGTCCGGTTTTGAGGGATTCGGCAGCGCCCCGCGAGACTGGAGGTCAAGGTCACGCTACCAAGCCCCCGAGCCAGTACCGCGGGCCGGCTGACCACTTGTCCGACAGAGCGAGAAGTACACGTTAGCTTACTTTCCGTGCTTCGTCTGCAGCCATTTCCACTCCTATTTCTGCTTCACTGTGTGCATATAGACCTTCCTCACACGCTAGCAGTGACATGAATTATCTTGATGTTTAGTTCCGCCGCCCTTTTGCTGGTGGTTTTAAGTTTGTTTTCCATTGGCATTTTATTTGGCGTACCTGTGTTGCCGGTTGCATGCATTCATACCTATTGATCAGCAGCCGTGTGGTGGCGATCTTGTCTGCGCTACACTAGGTTTCGCATTTGCGTCGCGTTCTTGTTTCTTATGCATTTTCTGGCTATAGGTATACCATTGTAGTGTCATGGTGCCCCGTTCTGTACGCGTGGGGATGTGCCCTCCCGGACGGTTTCTCCACTCAAGTTGTGTTTCTTCCGAAGTTGTTATGCTCAATCGATTGCTCCTGTATGCACAAACCTTTATAATACACCGAAGCATGTCTGCTGCGTGCCA